GGCTCCACCAATACAATTTAAAAGGTTGTGTTGCTTTAATCTTTGTTGGATTTTTTTCCCCTAATCTTTGTTGAACTTATTTGTTGTTAATACGTCAGATTTGTGCTTAAATTTTAATACTCTTAATTGGGTGTTTTGTTGATTTTAGAGTGTTTCTAGTAGCTAATTGATGTATTTTTAGTTGGTTTTGCATATTAATATCATTTAGAGTTTGTAGGTGAGTGTTGGAGTAATTTTTAAAGTTAAATTTAAATTGGGGAGCCTCAACCTTGAAAGATGGTACCTAGGCTATGAAATTGTCCATTTGTAGTACAAAAACCAGAGGAAAGAAAGCCTAGGCTTTGTGCAGTAGAGCCATGGTGCTAAAACACGCAAAGAATGGAGTTTCCGCCTGGCGCCGCGGCACCCATCACCACCGCCATGACACTACTTCAAAGGCAGGGCAGCACCTGCACACTTGAGCTGTTCAAAGCCGCGACGCTACTTCGAGAATTTTTTTCGATTTGAGCTTATTTGAGTTCCATAAATTTACAAAAAGTGTCATTACAATTCCAAACACTATAAATAGGATTTTTAGGGTTATTTTCTACATCTTTTGGCTAAGAAAAGAAGGAAATAAGATAGCTCTATGAAGGAGAAGAAGATTCATTCAAGAACGGAGTTCAACTTCGAATTCGCCAAACAGTTTTTTTCTTTCCTGAATTTCTTATGTTAAATTTAATTGTTATTATGTTTTTCATTCCAATTATGTTCTAAATTCTTAGACCAGGGCTATAGGTGTAGCCAAGACATGAATATTTAATTTACGTTATTTTCTTTCAATAAAGTTTATTCAACAAGAGTTTTTCCATTCATGTATGTGTTTCTTTTATTGTTCTTAATGCTTTCAATAAATTGATCACTTATTGAATTGAATTGAAGACCTAAATTGTTTGCCGATTTGAGCTTATTTGAGTTCCATAAATTTACAAAAGTGTCATTACGATTCCAAACACTATAAATAGGATTTTTAGGGTTATTTTCTACATCTTTTGGCTAAAAAAAGAAGGAAATAAGATAGCTCTATGAAGGAGAAGAAGATTCATTCAAGAACGGAGTTCAACTTCGAATTCGCCAAACAGTTTTATTCTTTCCTGAATTTCTTATGTTAAATTTAATTGTTATTATGTTTTTCATTCCAATTATGTTCTAAATTCTTAGACCAGGGCTATAGGTGTAGCCAAGACATGAATATTTAATTTACGTTATTTTCTTTCAATAAAGTTTATTCAACAAGAGTTTTTCCATTCATGTATGTGTTTCTTTTATTGTTCTTAATGCTTTCAATAAATTGATCACTTATTGAATTGAATTGAAGACCTAAATTGAAACCCCTAACGGAGATTTTTAGGAATAACTTCTAATAAAAGAAACCGCAAGGTGTGTAGGGCATCGAGAGATAGTAACATGACATACGAGAACAATTTGGGAAAAACCATAGAACTTAATGAATTTCTAGGATGGCGGAGTTCACATCTAGCGATAATGAATTTACATGTTAGAAATATTTTTAATAGCATCTCCAGAAGGACTATTAGATAAATTAAGGTTTTTGTTATACTGCATGAATGGAAGGCGATGTTAGCGAATAACTGGAATTAAAGAGGAAATGTCTTTGTGAAACTTGTATGATCTAGTGTTTTCTTTGCACTGAGTTCTTCTTATAATTATTTTGCATTTAATTTGTGTTATTTTATATCGTTTCTTTTCATTTTTGTTATCTATCTCAAAAGTTTATTTGTCTAGATAAAGTTAAAAATATCAATTTTAGTAATTGTTAAGCTAGTCTTCGAGGGAACGATATCTTACTCAATCATTCTATTACTTGTGTGATTCGTGCGCACATAAGTTGCTTATGTATAAAATTAACTCTCATTTATTTTAGGGAATTTTTATTTTCATTTTATACCCTATATTTTAAGTTTATCAAATAATTATCATACCTTATATTTTGGATGTATCACATTTATACATTCAAATTCAGATTTCGTGCTCAATTCTATCTATTCGTGGACAATAGTCAATTTTGACCATAAAAGGTTCTTAATACCCTTAAAGAAAATAAGAATAAGAATATGAAAAGGATTATTAAAAAACTACAAAATTCATAAATTAAATGTGAAAGATATTTATGTCTTTCCATAATCAAAATAAATTTTGACTGAAAAATGGTATGGATTTAGTATGAATTTGAAATGTGAAGGTATACATTGATGCATTCAATATGTAAGTATGATTTTTGTTTATAATCTCAAAATATGGGGTATAAAAATGAAAAAAAAAAAGCCTTTATTTTATGTATATTTTTAACATAAATTTAATCGTATACTAAAAAAAACTAAGACCAACTAAAGTTGAAAAAAAAAAAACATAAAAAAAAGAACTCCAATAACTGTAAGATCTACTTCTTTCAAAGGGAAAGGACTTCTTTAAAACCTTCCCTAGTAACTAGTAAGAACATTAAATAAAAAACACAGGAAAAGATCTCAAAAAGAATGTCTAGTTAATTTGCTTGCTTATCTATCCGTCACTTAGTTAAAAAGAAGGGTTAATCTCACAAATAGTCCTTGAGGTTTACTTTCAATTATATTTTGGTTTTTGACTTTTAAAATGTCCAACTATTGACCTTTAATGTATTACTCTATTTCAGTTTCAGTCCTTCTATTAGCTAGTTAGGTGTTAAATATTTAATTAAATCTGTAAAATTTAGAGACCAAAATTGAATATATCTAAAATTTATAGACTAAAACAATACAAAACACAAAAGTTATTAGTTTCAACAAATAGTTCATAAATTTTATATGTTTCCAATTTTGGTCCTTAATTTCAACATATTTCGTCAAATATTTAACCCCTAATTAAAGAAAAGACCGAAACTAAAATAGAGTAATATTATATAGATCAGGGACCAAATGTGGTACATTTTTAAAAGTTAAGGACTAAAGTGAAATTAAAAGTAAACTTTGAGAACTATTTACATGATTAATATAACAAATTTATAGATGACTTCTAAATTAAATTCACAGTGGGTGTGACTATTGACTAACTTCCCTCTCTTTAAAAGAAACATAAAATAAAAGATAAGAGATTAAAAAACGTGTACACACATATATAGGAATTTTCAATAGTTACGTTTTTGTATGTGGTTATTATCAAATATAAAAATTTAAAAATGTGGCGAGATAAGAATACAATATTATTAGTTGTTATCATTATTTTTGGTCAACTATCTAATTTATTACAACTGTTATATCAATATCTTATAATTAAAACAATAAGATATCCATTGATAAGTAAATATTGAAGGGGTATTGTTTGGGATGCGATGCTTGTATGGGGTGTGCACTGTTGATTGGCCACGGCCATTTGGACATAGCAAAGTTGTAGTTAAAGCTAAGAGAATCATAGCTTTGGGAAAGTTGGCTTGATTAGGGTGTTTGCTTTCTTTGGACTATAAAGAAGTTCTCTAGGTTCTTCATCAGTGCATCTTTAAAAAAAAAAAAAAAAAAAAAAAAAAAGGGTTCTGTCTGTCCTGTATTAGAAAGAAAAACTCAACCTCGTTCGTTTCGATGATTCGAGTTTAGAATTTGAGTTGAGATGTGATTGTATGTGAGAGCTTTTTACTGTTGCAAAAAAGTTAGATGTGATTGTTTGTGAGAGCTTTTTACTATAGCAAAACTCGAATTCTAAACTCGAATCAGCGAAACGAACGAGGCCTGAAAAAGCATTCCTCTTTAACATCTGCACGCCACGCACCAAGGCAAAATCGGGAAAATATTCGTTTTTCATTTTGCTTTCTTATCCCTTTTCTTTCCATTTGAAGCATTGTAAGTAAAAAAAAAATTTCCTCTATTTCATGAACCATTAAAAAATTTTCCCTCTATTTCATGAACCATTCCTGACTTAAAAATCAATAAAAATTTAACTTTCTTTCAACAAATTTTACGCATGACTATGTGGATTTAATTAGATTGAGGGATATCCGCCTTATACATCCACCTAAAAATGCTCTTTGAATTATATCACTGACAAGTGACAACTATTAAAATTTTAGGATATTTTTATGATAATATCTTTTCTTATATATAATCAAATTAAATAAGGGATATGAATATTATACAAATATAAACATGTTTCCTCTCTTTGATATTCAAAACATATAATATGTATCAAAGTCATGACAAACCAAGTTTGAGTTTTAATTTGTATATTCTGTGAATTGAGGTGAGAAATTCCAACTCTAGACGTTAATATTAAAGGCATTACAGAGTGTAGATTTATCTCTAGGTTAAAGTAAGTAACCACAAATCCTTATATTTGCATTGGGAAAAGAAAAATGTATATACACATGTTAGGAGAAAAATTAGTGCCATGCAATATAAGTTATAAGTACTCCTGTTCAAATTGATGATAAATATAAACCCGTAATTAGCTAATTTGGGGTCAAATATTTTTTTATTCTTCACGTACGCGCAAGAGATTCTTGGAATTCTTACCAAGTACTGCTGCCATCATTTATATTATTCCTTTTCTATTTCTTTGCTTGTCTTCTTGAGGAATCACCTCGCTAGCACATGTACTCTACTTTAGATATATGAGAAAAATTAGTGCCATGCAATATAAGTTATAAGTACTCCTGTTCAAATTGATGATAAATATAAACCCGTAATTAGCTAATTTGGGGTCAAATATTTTTTTATTCTTCACGTACGCGCAAGAGATTCTTGGAATTCTTACCAAGTACTGCTGCCATCATTTATATTATTCCTTTTCTATTTCTTTGCTTGTCTTCTTGAGGAATCACCTCGCTAGCACATGTACTCTACTTTAGATATATATATATATATACACACATATATATATATATATATATATTGTGTGTGTGTTTGTATAGTCCACTTCATGAGTAACGAGTGGCGAGAAAAATATAGTTAAAATATATAACAGCCCTTGGTTTTCTCATGGAGAGCACTAATACTATAAAGAACATCGAGGACGTGAAGAAAGAATTGTTTGCAAACGTCATGAAAGGTGATTGGAAAGAAGTGGTAAGAAAGTATAAGGAAGATGGAAGGGCTCACAAGCTGAAGATCAGCAGATCGGGCCACACAGCGTTGCACTTGGCAGTCTCCGACGCCGGAGAGGATGTCGTTGAAGAAATGGTGGACGCCATTAAGTCACGTAATTCGACGAAAGATGCCTTCGAAGCGTTGAGTATCGGAAACGAGAGGGGACATACGGCCCTCCATTTCGCGGCGGCGTTGGGGAACTTGAGAATGTGCAAGTGCATCGCGAGCGTCGACCCGTTGCTCGTCGGCGTTCGGAACAATGAAGGAGAGACCCCTCTCTTTTGGGCTGTTCTTTACGGCGCCCAACCACAGGCTTTCTTCTGTCTCTACAAAATGTGTTCATCAACTGATCAGGAAGCTGGCTATTCTTATTGTAGGAGAGAGGATGGCCAAACTATTCTACATTGTGCAATATTTGCGGAGGAGTTTGGTAGCCATGATCTAATTTTAATATTCTTCATATAGATCATATACATTATTTGATCTTATTTATTTTTATGTTTTTAAATGTTGACAGAGAAGTTTCAAAACTGATCATATAGTTCTTACCGTTCAGAAGTATATATAACCATATTTATACTGGAAATTCTTCACTTCGGGAAAAAAAAAAGTGTCTAATATATATTGCACTTTGGCTTGACAGAGTTGGCGCTTCAGATAATTTCCTTGTACAAGGGACGACTCGTCAATCTTGGTGACGAGGATGGAATTTCCCCTCTCCATACTTTAGCAAGCAAGCCGTCTTGCTTCAGAAGTGGCACCAATTATGGACGATGGGGCAACATCTTTTACAATTGTAAGTATATATATTTATAGATACATACATATATATATATATATATAAATATACATTGCAAAAAAAAATAGCAATAATTGTGACGAAACTAGGATTTATTGGTAGGTAGTCAAAAAAAATTTTTATCAAGATTATACTAACATGTATATATATGTAACAGTTTTTGTTTATTAAATGTAGAGAACTATATTAATTTAAAGGGGATCATGTCTAATTTATACACATACATAAAAAATTAAAAAAAAAAAAAAAAACTGGGGGGCTATAGCCCCCAGCCCTCCTGTCTCCGTGATTCCTGCTTTCGATGTTTAGGTCTAATATTCCAGTTAAAAAAGGCACATTCTCGAATATTTAGCAAATTGATTACAAAAAATAATAATAAAAAAACACATACACTTGGTTGCATTTATTTTTCATGAAAGAGAAAGAGAAAGCGAAAGGAGTTGCATCTTTTTCAATCTAATAATAAATTAACAATGAGAATTTAGTTGGCCTGACACAGTCGGGAATAAGGTAAGAGAATTCAATCCAACCCTTAAATCCCTTGGTATTGATGTTGGATTAGGGAATAAATGTCGAATTTAGTACATTTTTAACATTTCAAAAAGAAATAATATTTATGATTAAAGTGAATAAATGTCAAATTTACTTATACAACCAAAATCAATAATTAACTATGTGATATTATTTGCAAGGTATTTACGTAGAGCACCCCAAGATGAAACCGCTGGATGCAAACGATACGGAGAACTCTGATGATCAAGAACATCAGTATAGTTATCCAGAAAACTACCAAGCTTTGGTCAATTTCATTCTGGTGATGAAGAAAGCGTTTCAAACTGGTATATGAGATAATTACTTTTTTAACCTTTTTAATTCCCCCAAATAACAATTTACGTCATGAATCAGTATATAATTCGCTACAATATAAACATATAATATGTGTGTGTACGTATTATATATATTGAACCTTTTATATTGTTATTGAGTTTGTGATTAATTCGTAAGTTCAAAAGCGTTATATTTTCAGTGACCACCATAGGACTCGCTAGGGCCAGATCAAAAACTGATACAGAAAACCCTGATGATCAAGAACATAAAGATCATACAGGTATGCGATTTACTTTACGCTTACATGCATATAGAAGATGATTTTTTTTGTACTGTGAATTTTAGTTATAATTTCCCAACATATATGTAGTGCATGAGTAACTGAATAAAGTCATATATCATTTCTCCTTTAATTAGTGGGACTTCAGCAAAAATGGCTCTTTTTTGAAGGATTTTTTTTCATAATAGCCGAAATTTTGTAAAATTATAAACATGACTTTTTTTTAATTTATTGGTCCATGATTGACTTAGTAGTCTATCACTGAAAGACAAAAAAGGTCGGCCATATATGTAAAAGTGTGGTAGAAAAAGGTCATCATGCTAAATTTTCCTTAACTATATTTATTATTACATGATCGGATTGTACCAGGAAAAACAAATTGTTTTTCCGAAAGAAAGAAAGATATCGAGCAGAAATAATTGTTACTAATTGCAAATTTTTGAAGGTCCCTCGAAAATGCTTGTCAAAAAGCATTTGTAAGTAAATTTCATTGGTGACAACAGTTTGGTTCATACATCATTTGAATAAAAAAAAATTTGCGAGAAAATACCATAACAAAAATAATTAAATTATGCAATTCAAACCAATAAATCAAGCAAGGGCTTCGTATTTATTAGTGATATATTATTACTATATACTAAAGGACAGAGGGAATTCACTGTTTATTGTAAAGGAACAGTGAAGTTCCCGTTTTGCCCCTTTTTTTAAGTTTCTCTTATGGTGTACTCTAAAAACATTGGTAATCATCACCTTGACTCTCTAATATTAGTCAAAAAAAGAGTTTAATCACATAATATTTTCTACAGGAAACCAATCATTACCTGGGGCTGATCAAGGGCCTCATGACTTCATTCCGGCAAACAATGTCACCTGCTTTGAGTTTGGCAGGTCTCTATACAAGGCTTTCCTGGTCATTGTCGGATGTGGTATAGATCCTAACTCATCCTTAAACATGTATTTCGCTAAATGTGCGTACATGTGTGTATATAGATATATAGATATATATATATATATTTGTATGTGTGTACGTATATATGTATGTACGCAGGGCCGACATAAGACAACGGGACGTATAGTCAAAATTTTATACTAGACTTTTATACTAGACCTATCTAATAATTACGTACATAAATAATATTTTGTGTATTATAAAATGCTCAGTTTATAGATTATTTAAGCAGGCATAATCTTATATATAGAGAAATCCAATTTTTCAAGTTTATATTTATCATAAATATTTATACGTTTTGTTTGTTCTGGCTAAAAAACCCATTACGCTTGATTTGAACACCTATAAAACTAAATTTATTAGGCGCTCTATTAAGAAAAAAATTATTATGTGCATAACCACACAATTGAAATATGGGATACACATGTACTGGAAGCCTCAATTCTAAAAATGAATAGAGGCCTTTATAAATATTTATGATGCGGAGAAGATGGAGCCTTGATGACTCAAAGGGACATATGCAACTGGCTAAGTCACCTAGTAGTCCTTGAGTTGGCACTGTGTGTGTGTGTGTGTGTGTGTGTGTGTGTGTGTGTGTGTGTGTGTGTGTGTATGTGTATATATATATGTATATGCATGTATGCATGCATGCATTACAAACACATATATGTTTCTAAATCATAACAAATTTATTTTATTTGGGTTTTCCCCCTTCAATTAAGGACATTCGTGGATAAATAAGATACGAGAAGAGAAAAAGAAGCATTTATGGGCAGTTCAAGTCGTGGACAAACTCCTAGAACATTCCAATTTGTACGCTAACGAAGACGCTGGGGGTTATCCGTCTGATGGGGCAGATGGTCACTGCGAAATTACTTCCTCTATTAATGAAGGTAAAATTAGTGTGGTTTATAAACATACGTTTTGCATAATTTTACATTTTATGATTTGAACAAGAATGTAATCTTATCAAAAGCCAATTTTTCGTCTTTAATGCGTTATAAAGCTTACCATATATAGCGTATGTGTAAATTAGGCCTATCGCATAGACAGGGGCAGATCCATCTTAGATCAGAGGAACAGCTGCCTCCAATTGGCTTAATTAATGACCAATCGATCTGAAAAATAAATAAATAAATAAAAATTAGGGTTCTAGCACTAAGTATAGCATTATATAAATGGTTGATGTGTGTGCTTTTTCAGAGGAGAAAGAAGAGAAAGAGAAGAAAAGTCCTGCACTGAAAATAGAGGAAACCGCCATATTAGTCGCGGCAAAAAATGGAGTGTCTGAGATCGTGGATCGAATTCTTCAAAATTTTCCAGTGGCCATTCACGATGAAAACAAAGATAGGAAGAACATACTTCTACTAGCCACGGAGAATCGGCAATTGGAAGTGTATAAACTCTTGCTAAAGAGAAATGTCCCAAGGGCCCTCATCATGCGGAAAGTGGATGAGCAAGGCAACACTGCTTTGCATTTGGCCGCAACGCTCAATCCCACGGCCAATAAGCTTTGGCCTATTCCCGGCGCAGCCCTACAACTGCAGTGGGAAATTAAATGGTACAAGGTAATTTAAAAAAAGACGTACGGTGATAATAAAAAAAAAAAAAAAAAAAAAAAAAAAAAAAAAATTTTTCTTTTTTTTATGGAAAAATTTGGTTTGCCCTCAAAAAAAAACATGTTTCCTTGCTTTATGGAAAAATGTCGTTTGACCTCATGTTTTTAAGAATGTTGCACATGTTCATGCATTTGTTGTTGTCAATGTTAGGTAAGTAATTATACAAAACTGTAATCACAATAATTATTATTTGTGAAATAATTATAATGACTTATCGTAATTATATGATAGGGATATAAAAGAAATAAATCAAAACTAATATTCATGAACAATTATTTTTAATACCATATAGGAATATTAACCCATTATTATTGCAATATTAATTGCAGTTTGCGGAGAAATCCATGCCACCAAGGTCTTTTTTACGCCCCAACAAAGAGGGCGAAACCCCAGAGGAGATTTTCTCTCAAACCCACAAGGAGCTCGTCAAAGCTGGCAGCAAATGGCTAACAACGACCTCAAGCGCCTGCTCTCTCGTGGCGACACTCATCGCCACGGTCGCTTTCGCAAGCTGCACCACGTTTCCAGGCGGCACCGACGAGAGAAGTGGCAAACCGAAGCTTGAAAACCAGCCGACATTCAATCTTTTCATGTCCTTTTCACTGATTGCCCTTTGCTCTTCAGTTACATCATTGGTCATGTTCCTCTCCATCCTCACGTCGCGACACCAAGAAAAAGATTTCAGCAATGACCTGCCAAAGTTGGTATTAGTGGGATTAACGTCGCTCTTCATTTCCATTGTCTCCATTCTTACTTCTTTTTGCTCCGGCCACCACTTCGTGCTGGAAGAAAAGCTCAAAAACGCTGTGATTTTAGTGTATACAGTGACGTTTTTACCAATATCCCTTTTCGCTGCTGCCCAGTTTCCATTGTACCTTGATCTTCTACGAGCTACATTTGGGAGTCCATTTTGACAGTTTCAAATTTTAAGTACTGCTTTTTTACACGATTCGCTGTTGTATTAATTATATGGCAAACTATTTGTGATCTTTGTTTCAGACGTATATCGTGTTGATGTTGATGCCAATAGTAGTCGCTCTAATTTTGTAGCTTTACTTGACTATGAAATAAACTTCTAGCCTTTTGCGATGTACTATTTTTGCTAAAGTAGCTATTTGTTATTCGATATTATGCATATATATATATATATATATGTTGAATCAATTATAATTATGACTCAGCTTTAATGTTTGATAAACGCTGGTCTTATTGAAGAATAGAAACGGCAAGTCGTTTCTGCTGGAATGCAAACTTGAGAGACACAAGGAGCTGACACGGACAAGTGAAGCACAGGTGGCAGCGTTTTACTGGACCGCCTCACGTGGACTCCAGATAAGAGAAATCCTTTCTTATGTAATTGGTTTTTTAATTCATTTCTTCTTCTTCTGTCTTCTTCGAGAGATTTCCAGAGAGAGAAAGATAAGCTTTTGTACAGAAACCCAAAATACAGAGAGACGTTCTAGAGTGAGAGAGTGAGAGAAAAGGGTGAATTTCTTGGGGAAATTTCTTGCTTAGTTTCTCGGGAAGGTATTGGGGTGAGATTTGTGAAAGTTTGTAATTCTCTTGTAAAGACTTTGTTCTCATAGTGCATATCGAATTTCCTCTGGGGAGTTCGCGGAGAGTAGGCAATTTTTGTGCCGAACTCCGAGATCAAATTTTGTGTTCTTGTTTTTCGTTGATTTGATTCTTATCTGAGATTAGGTGTTGGATTGATTTCCAACAATATATATATATATATATATATATAAACATCCAACATAAAGCTATATGATGTTAGGCATCCTAAGTTATCTACAATTTCTGCTACGTCCAAGTAAGATATATAGCCAACAAATTGACAGTTCTATAATTGATGAAATACAATCACTTATAAATAGATTCAAACCGATGAAATGAAGATCCTTTGTCACAACTCACATCATTTATTAGGTATGAGAATATATCATTCCCATGTGAATCACAAATGGACTTTTTGAGACAATCGTAACTTGAGATACAAGTCTCATAAGTCATAACCCCACAACAATGAAAGCTCTCGCCTTTAATCTGCCAGGCGGCCACCAAGGCTTGGCTTGTGCTTCAGCTTTTATCTCTTTAGTTCTCTTTCTTTAACTAAATCTCTGTCAAAATCTCTAACAGATTCTAATTTCTCGTGCTTTTATTATCTTTTGTTTATTAAAGTATTATTCCAAGTGACTTTAGTGTACTTAACGATACTATTAAGCTATAACATCCCGTCCTAAGATTACAATGCGATCTTAAATGGTAGCGGTTTATAAGATTACTAGATATATAAGAGATCGTAGAAGAATAAGTTTCTTGAGATCATCATGGATTCAGCGTCGAGTTTGGAAATGGAGACAATCAAGAAAGAGTTGTTCAACATGGCCATGAGAGGAGAATGGGAAAAAGTAGTAAGAATGTACAAGGAGGATCACAGGGCTCACCATGCCAAGATCACAAGATCAGGGGACACCGCACTGCATGTGGCGGTCTCTGACTGCCAAGAGGAGGTCGTCCAAGAGCTCGTCCGACACATTGTCTCCAAGCATTCTGGTGATCAGGTCAGGTCCGTGCTCGACATCCAAAACGACAGAGGTAACACTGCTCTCCACTTCGCAGCATCACTGGGGAACGTGCGGATGTGCAAGTGCATTTCTGAGGTCAAACCGTCGCTGGTCGGCTCTCGCAACAAGGACGGTGAGACGCCGTTGTTCCTTGCTGCTCTTAGAGGCAAGAAAGATGCTTTTCTTTGCCTGCATTTCATATGTGGTCCTGACCTTGGCGCTTCTTATTGCCGGAAAGACGACGGTCAGACTGTTCTACATTGTGCAATTGCCGGAGAGTATTTTGGTGAGAAGTTTCACCACTCATTTGGTTACCTTTGCATCAAATAATATTGTTCTCATATTAGTTAGTTACGTTATACATATATATGTTACATATATATGTTACATATATATTACTGACAAGATTAGGTACAAAATTGACGCTTTAACACAGAGTCCTATCGACATTTGATAATTTTTTTTTTGTATCCCACTATAAAAATCTTTTGCTTCTCTGTTCTGTATCTGGCAGATTTGGCATTTCAGATAATACAACTATACAGGGAACTTGTAAATTTTGTTGATGAGCACGGACTTTCCCCTCTTCATATTTTGGCATGTAAGCCATTTGCTTTCAAAAGTGGTAGCAACCTTGGACCATGGCACAAAATCGTATACCATTGTAAGTGTTTTGAACTGCATGTGACAAAAGTTAGTAACTGCGAGAATGTACTAAATTTTTTGGGTTACTTCTGGAAGGTACATTTGTGGATGAGCTCAAGCCAGAGACACCCTCACTAAGGAATTTACTTGAGGATGAAAAGAAACCAAATTATCCAGAAAATTACAAATCTTGTGTCAATGTATTTCAGTTGCTGAAAAATGCCTTTCAAGTTGGTATGTCAATTAATACATTTTAACCCATAAAGTTTATTTCGTATGTTCATTTTACAAGTATTTAAAGAACCAGTTGATTCACGATGGAACACTTTTTTTTTTCAGTAAGTACTGTCAGAGACGATGCACAAAAAATGTCAAAAAAAGCCGATGAAGAGAACCCTGAAGGGGCAAATGTTACTCTTGCCAGTAAAGGTGAGCAAAATTAATCTGTTTAAAACTCAATATTTTTAACATTTCAAAATCAAGCATTGTTTGCTAGCATTTTTATTATTTCATCTTTCATTTTTTAAAATTAAAATAAAAAGTGAGAAATCTTCTTAACATGGACTCAAAAGAATCTCCTTTATTTTGTCCCATTCTAAATTACAAATTTATAAAATTAGGACAAAATTCTATTTGCAAATCTGACGGTAAAATAAGAAATGAATAAAAATAAAGATAAAATAGACACAGTTATTTTACATGAAAAATCCCTAAAGGAGATGGGGTGAAAACTACAGGACAAGTGTAGAAGGATTTAACTATGAAAAGCGAGAACAATAAGAACCACTCGCTCATGTAAATAGGAAAAACACTTCACAAAAGAAGAAAAACTAAAAAAACTAAATTTCTCTCACACTATTGGAATTCTCTCTGAAGGGTGAGAATGAGATGCAAAACTGAGAAATGAATAAACTCTATTTATAGCTAAGCTCTCCTGAGAAAACTGTATGAACCAATTGTAAATAACTAGCTCTTTCCTCAAATGTCAGCACCGAATTTGGTACTGAGTTCCTCTTTCTATCTTTCTTTTTCTTTTTTCCTTCAAAAGTTGTGGCTGCCTTTGACTTATTAAGTAACGCTTACAAATTCCATATAAGTAAAATATGATAGTGATATACACAAAATTCTTACAGGGCAGTTGTTGATCCTTGGAGCTCAAGGGCATCAATTATTTCCGTCTAATTACACGGCATGCTTCAACTTTGTCAAGATTTTGTGCAAGGCACTGCTAGTCGTCCTTGGATTCGGTATGGAATCAACAATATCCTTATATAATTCAACAGATACATTAATTACAAGTCGAATTCATCCTAGCTTCTTTTTTTTTTTTTTTTTGTAATTTTTGTGTTTCATTCAATTGTTGAAGGATCTAGAATGATAATAAGAGTAAGGGAAAAGAAAGAGAAGCACATATGGTCTGTCCAAATAATGAATGAACTCCTGAAAACTGCTTCGATGTACGAGTACGAGAACACTGGAGCTAGTCCACAGGCAGCATTGTTGCATAAAGACGACGATGAGACGAAGCCTTATGAAACCTTCAAAGGCGGAGAAGCTACTTTTGCAAGTTACACAATGGATCGGCCAATTCCACCTCCTATCCCTTCTGATCCTGCAAAAACTGGCCAACAAGACAATGACAAAGGAAAGAACGGTAAAGGCATGTATGAAATAGAAAAGAGGGAGACAGCCATACTACTAGCGGCTAAAAATGGTGTGACGGAGGTGGTGGAGAAGATCCTAGAGCTTTTTCCGGTGGCTATCCACGACATGAATGCGGAGGAGAAGAATATAGTGCTATTGGCAGTGGAGCATAGGCAACCACATGTGTATAAGTTATTGTTGAAAAGAAACATATTGAAAGACAGCGTCTTTCAGCAAGTAGACGACAAAGGGAATAGCGCATTACATCTTGCGGCCATGCTTGGAGGCTACAAGCCTTGGCTAATCCCAGGAGCTGCTTTGCAAATGCAGTGGGAAATCAAATGGTATGAGGTAAAGATTTTTCTCCCTCCCGAATTACGTCTCTGTTTTCTTTTGATTTTGATATTCAACCAACTTAGGAATTCCATTGATTATATTAACTATTTTTTGTGCTTCGAAGTTGGACTAACCCCGTAGCTCGAATTTGTCTGATTATCCTATTAAGTAATTTCAGTCAATATGTAAAATGGTGTAGCTTAAAGTACTTTTTTCATCCAGGAAAAGGAAAAAAAAAAGTGAAGTACTAAAAGGTCAAAGTAAGATCACTAACGCTATAGCTTGAACGCGCCTTAAATATATTTATAGTTTTTGTTGTGATCGCATTAAGTAATTTAAGTAACAAAATGTATAATGCAATAGCATGAATACAAGTGAGACTAATCCTATAGCTGAAATGAACAAATGAACCTTAAATGTATAATGTTGTTGAGTTTATGCAGTTTGTGAAAAGATCAGTGCAACCAAACTTCTTTGTCCGCTATAACAACGACCACAAGACTGCAAAGGACATCTTCACCGAAACCCACACGGAACTCGTCAAAGCCGGTGGCGAATGGCTAACAAACACTTCAGAGTCCTGCTCCGTCGTAGCTGCCCTAATTGCTACCGTCGCATTCGCTACGTCCACCACGGTCCCCGGAGGTAATAATGAGGAAAGTGGAAAACCAACCCTAGAAGAGAAGCCGGCATTCGAAGTGTTTGCCATCTCATCACTGATTGCCTTATGCTTCTCAGTCACTTCCGTGGTAATGTTCCTAGCCATCCTCACATCTAGGTACCAGGAAAAAGATTTTAGTAAAGACCTACCAAGGAAGCTTCTAGTGGGGTTGACATCTCTCTTTGTGTCCATAGCTTCCATGTTGATTTCATTTTGTGCAGGCCATTTCTTTGTGCTTCAAGATAAACTCCAATACGCAGCGTTTCCTGTGTATGCTGTGACATGCCTGCCCATATCATTTTTTGCTCTTGCGCAATTTCCACTCTATTTTGATCTCATATGGACCAATTTTAAGAAGGTACCTCAGCGCAGTTACAAGGTAGCCGTTTCCCCTGTCTATTAAGCTGTATTATAGGATAGGGTCCGTCCGTTTGTTTTATCTTATTGACTTTTCAATCTTCTTTTTTTTTTTTTTTTTAATGAATGGTTTGTCTTGTATTTTGTCAGAAGCTACAAATTTAATGATATCAATAAAACCATTTTGAATAATTATTCTTCAACTTTATGTTATATATCCCTATAAATTTAGAATTGTAAGAACAAGCCGGTTCGGCAAAGCCCGGCCCAAGCTATTCTGTGTGGGCCGGCCCATAATTTTAGTAGGTCGGGCCGAGCCAATCCATGTAAAAACAACCTTCAGTCTAGCCCATACCATTAGGTAATTTTCTGTGGATTAGGTTAGGCCGTGCTATGAGTTGTGAACGGACCAGCCCATTTGAGCTCATCAATGAGTTAAGATGGGTAGGCTCATCTTGATCCATCGTGAGTTTAGATGGGCCAGTCCATTTTAGTCTTCAATTTTTAAATGTTTTATTTTTAAATTTCTAAACAAGTTATTAAAATTCTGAATAAATGGAAACATAAAAAGAGATGTTTATTTACGATTACCTCATTAAAAATATTTCAAAAAAAAAAAACTAATCATATAAAATCTTAATAGAATAAAATGAGTACAATCAAGATAATTATATATAAAATATTTACAAAATTACTAAATAAAAATCAAACAAACAAAAAACATAAAAAGCATGATCTGTCAGCAGAAAGCCATTCTCCAAAGCTACGTTTATCCACGAGTGAACATAGCAAAATATATATATATATTTGAAATTGGGCTATAATGGGCTTTTCATATGCTAGCCCATTAAGGGGCAATATGGGCCGAATCAACTGGGCCTTACATGGGCCATCCCATGTTAGGCCTATTCGTGCAGTCTAAATCCGACCTGATTTATGAATTTTTATGAACCGTGTTGAGCCAAAAATGCTAACCCAACCCAACCCACCAATGTTATTAGGCTAAGCTAGACCGTGTATTAAACAATATCGTGCTGGACCAACTTGGCTTGACACTATATCAAGATGGGCCCGAGATGGCCCACTAACCTAGTTGCATCTCTCTATAAATTACAACATTTATTTAAGAATGATTCAATTACGCATTTTTTTAATACATGGGTGTAATCTAACTTTTATGTCGGAAATAGTAGAAAATAGGCTAATATGAAAAGCTTAAGAAAGTATATAGGCCAATTTTTAGTTATAGAAATTAATAGGCCATAACTTGTTAAGTTATGGATAAACTTGTCAAGTTATGGTTCATAGCCAGACAAGTTATGGACAAAAATCGTGAATTATGGATAATAACTTGTCAAGTTATGATTCATAACCAGACGAGTTATGGACAAAAATAGTATTTTGGCATATTTATTAACTTATGTAAACTATTGGCCTATTAATTTTAGGCTTCGTTCACTTCGCAGATTCGAGTTTTCAATTCGAGCTGAGATGTGACATTTTCTGAGAGCTTTTCACTGTAGCAGAAAAAGTTAGATGTGACATTTTCTGAGAGCTTTTTACTGTAGAAACCTAAAACTGAAAACTCAAATCGGTTAAATGAACGAGGCATTAATTCATCTCAAATCTTAACATATTTCCCTCATTCTCTCCTTTTATGCTTTAATGTAAATACCCACGTTATTCTCAAATTTTGAGAAGAATTTGTCAGTTTGAGGAATAAATAAGTATAATGAATCGACAAACAAGACAAGGAATAACAATCCAAAAAAAAAAAAAACCCACATAATTTTAAGTTTAAATAATGAGTTTCTCTTTTTATTAGTAGTTTTTTATTTTTTAGTCGTTAAATTTGTATAAAAATCTATTTATTTTATATATTTTTTTAATTTAATGTGATTTTAATTAAATTTAACAATAAAAAATTAAAATTACTGGTAGCATATATTACTAAAGAAATTTTTTTCAAATAAAAAGAAAAAAAAACAGAGAGATTAAAAAAAAAAAGTGAGTCAAGGATTAGTCGTGGATTGCGAGAAGATCTTTGTCGTGAAAGGAGTAGACAAGTGGGGTCGGGGAAAAATCAAGAGGCCAAGCCATAACAAGAGATGGGAAAAGAAGAGATGGAGAAACACAGGGATCGCCTTTGGCTAATTGCCTAATGCAATGCAGATGACAAGTGGCGTTAGAGGGGGTAAACAACCGCTGCGGGCCATGGACCCTTTTTTAACGGGTAATCTAATTCTCAATAAGCATCCCTTCAAAATATATGCGCATGTTTGTTTCCGTTTTCAAAAACGGTTTTCACGTTTTTTAAAAATAAAAAAATAAAAATGTTTTAGGGAAGGTGTTTGGCATGCATTTTTTGAAAAACATGAAATGAAAATATTTTTCATTTGTTTCTAAAAAGTGAGCAAAATTAAAAAACGACTCTGAGTCATTTTTAGTTTTCATTTTTATTTTCTTTGTCTGTCTCTTCTTCGACTGTCCCCCCCATCTCTTCTCCGACTGCTGACTGCCCCCCACTCTTCTCTGACTGCCGACTGCCCCCCCTCTCCCCCACTCTTCTCCGGCCCCTCTCCCTCCCGCCCTTCTCTGACTATCTCCCTTCCCCCTCGCCCTTCTTCAACTGCCGACTCCTACCAAACGTATTTTCAAAAATGATTCTAAAATAAAAATAAAAATATTTTAATTTTTATTTTCATACAAAAAATAAAATTATT